CCGGTTCAGATGGTTTAGATCAGTAAAACAGCTAAATGTAGCTTTGCTAGATATAAGAGAGAGCTTTTAAATAATGATTTCATTTATTATTATTAAGAAAAGCTGCTTTAAACAACTTGGTCTTGTGTTGTTGCCAACTGTTGCAACAATTATGAAGTGTTTATATCTGAGGAAAAGTCTTTTCTTTCTCTTTTGGCTCAGTCTTCTTTGCAGAATTGTTTTAATTCAGTCAAATTGGAGAGTTTTTAAACAAGAATACTGACATTCTGAATGAACTAATCTTGGACTAATTTTAACAACCAGTTCTATCTTTTCCATTTATAGACAATGGCTTTCAGTGTGGGGTTCTGGAGTTTTACAAATGGTCTTGTAGTTTAATCCATATGGACAAATGACAATCACTTTGACTTCGCAACCATTTCTGTATTTCTTTTAGTTTTATTCTGTTTCTACAAATGTGGCAAATACATATTCCACATACATGTATTTTTATATTTTTACATAAAAGTCAGTATCAATGATACAAAACAGATAAATAGAAGAAATCTTTAAGAGGAAAAAACCTTTTCTGATTTTCAGGGATTGACCATAAATAATAACAACAGATCGTAAGCCTCTAATAATATTAAAATTATCCATACCCTTAATTATTAGAATTTTACAAATAAATTCATGAACATGATGAGAAAATGTTTCTCAAGACTTTTTTGTTTGTGCCTGATCATATTTCTTTGCATTTCTGTATTAAAAAGCCATAATTTCTGCTGAGGTCACAGGAACCAACCTCTTAACCAGAACTAAAATATCAGATGACATTTGCTGTGGACACTCATATGATCATCATCTGTTTTTTTTGTGCAAGTTTGCATCTTTTCCTGTGAATCCTCTCTGATACTGTTGCTGTACAGGGCCGCAGATGCTTTGTTTCAGACCCCGCTTTCTCGGACAAAGCTCGGTGTGTGTTCAAGAGGGGGCTTGGCATCTCCGTTAAATATTTGTTCTTGCTGCAAGACGCCCACCATCATGAAGCCCTGTGACCGCCTGCAGCAATCGGCTCATGTATGGCGAGCGGTACTGGTCGAGCAGACACAGCCTCGCTTTGAGTCCGTGAAGTGTGCGGTCAGGTCCGCTCTGTTGGTTCCTCCGTGTTCTTTGAGGTTATGAATAATTAGTGAAAGGACAAGTCCAGATTTTCCAACATTTTGTGTACTTTTTTTTCCCCACCAATGCCAGGAGGGCTTTTGCTGGAACAATTCAGCCGTTTGTTGGTTATTTTAATTGGTTGGACTCTCACAGCCCACTGAACAGATCTGGATGGCTGCTGTTTCTTTCTGTTCATTCTTATTACCTCTGCAGGTTTGGATTTATCAGCTAATGAGACTAAGTGACATATAAAGAATCAAACCTTTCGCACTACAGGGTCTTCCAAAACTCCTTTACCACATTACAATTCAAACTTGTATTGGTATGTTTTGCAATGGACTTAATTTGTGAAGGAAAATTATAGTTTTCATAGTTTTGTGTGAACAGAGTGTCTGAACATCCTTAAAAAAAATCTTAAATTAAGGGCCTAATTCATTTAAAAATGGAAGTTGGCCTTTAACATGTTGACCACAGGTCTTGAATTTTGTCTTGTCAGAACTGTTTCATATTGTCTATTCAGTGCATTTCATTTTCTTTCTTACGGGTCTTTTCTGTCAGTCGCACTCAGAGACATTTTCATTGCGTTCTGCGACCCGAGACAGTTTTGGTTACCAGTAACTCACTGCTCACATATCTTATCTAGCCGACTAGCTTGATAACTTTTTTGCGTCCATCTTGGGTAACTGCAAATTTATTCACCATTTGACTGGACAAAGTTTGCAGATTTATGTGGAGATAAATGTCTTAAATTCCCTTCATTGTGGTCTTTAAAAGTCTTACGTTTGAATGGGTGAAGCCTGGAGAAACCTGTAACCTCCACTTATATTCAGCCCTCCTGAAACAATAGTTTGTAGGAAACCAAGCCCTCCAGGATATTTCCCTTGCAAAATAGCTCAAGCTTAGTCAGATTGGTAGAACTTTGTATTTAAACATTACCTGTCAAGCATTGCCACAGATAGCTTAGATTTAGTTTTAGTTAGCAGTGTTTTTCAGCATGACTAACACAAACCCACCTACCAGTCTTTACTCTCCAGTCAATATGCTGAACAAATGAAAAAGAAAAAAAGGCTTCTTTTCTCATTGTTCTCCATCCAACTGAACATCTGTCTTCTCAAGCCCCGCTGATCCCAGCATGTTGTGTTTCTCTTTTCGCCCACTGACAGGAAGGGAAAAGTACTGAAGTCTCCACCATTCTCCTTCATAATATTCATCTAAAGTATCCTCCATGTTTCCCTTCCAGGTTCAGATCTGTTTATTTGGACTTTTCTTTCCCTATATGACTTTCGCAGCTCGAGGTCAGAAAACTGCAACATTATATTTGCGACCAACTTGCTAATTAATGAAATACTGCTTCGGTACATTTGCCTCTTCTCCAGTGTGCTAGTTTGCAATTTCCTGTTTGCGTTGTCAGTTTTCTACATTTTGTTAGCCAACAAGCAGCTCTGTTTTCCCCCTCCTTTTTGTTTCTTTTTAGGTTTTGCTGTGACCATCAGAGCAGCAAGGCGCCCTACGTGGAGCTGGCTATAACCTGTTAAATGAAGATGTCCCCAGAAATGTTTGCACGGGAGTTTAAAATCAGTACATCTTTTACCATTATGCTGTAAATTCACTCTATTCCCTTTTATGATGTGGCGCAAGAGGGCCTTTACTGGCTCTATTTTCTTTCCATTTTTTTTCCATCAGCTTTGTTTTAGGATTTATAAAAAGAAATATCTAATATTAGATTAAATTTTTATGCGGATTTTTTTAAATGTTCAATTTGCAGTGAGACTCAGACATTTCTTTAAAAGTTGTCAGTATTTTTTGAGGTCTTTTATGTAAATATTTACATTTGAGGGTTTTTGTTTGACGACTTTACTCTCTACTGCCATGTGTGTTAGATAAGGGAATTACGACCACTGCGGGATTATTTTCTACATTACACATCACTTTTTTCCTGTTAATAAATGAAGTAAACATGAAGGCTTATCTTTATATCCACCCTTAGATGAAGTTTTCATTACAAACCATACACTGAGCAGACTCACACACACTCACACGCACGCATGCATTCACACACTCTTTATGAGTTCTGTGTCTGTGCTGGACACTAATAAAGTTTCTCCTTATCCCCTTATGGCTGTGATTGTATAATTTGGACTGAACAGATTGCTAAATAATGTGCATTAGTTTAGATTAACCACTAGTCCGATGTTAACCTGCACCATAATCCCCAGCTCTCTGCTTAGGAGGGATTTTGCAGGGTCAGAAGACTGTTCCTATAAAACAAACATGCACTTGTTTTCATTTATTACCACCAATGGGGAATCTATGTATTCAGGAACTGATCAAATATCTTCTATTTTTGTCCCTTTTTTCTAATTTCCTGCATGCTGCTAAGTACTTGTTAGTCGCAAAGTTCTATTTATTTTCAGTTTATGTTCTACAACAATAGTTTGCGAAACACAGTGAGTTGGGGCTGTGGCCTGAAATAACAAGCTGAATGGTTCTGGAAGGGATCTCCTACATTGTTTATTCCTTGATCTGGGAACAAGCTTAGGCGTCAGAGGCTGGCAGATGAAAGAATGGAAGCAGGTAAAGGTCAGGACAGGGATTTATTAAGAGAGAAGGAAGAAAATTCCCTAGTTTCTGTGTGCAGGTTTAACCCTAATGCAGCCAACCATGACAGAGTTGATAATAGTGTATAATTTGCATGCATGGTCCACGAGTGAACTTTGAGTAAAAGAGAAGTGTGTTCATTTTGCATTTGTAGTCAAAATATTTTTAACCACACACATCATTGGGACACTAGTGCTTTACATTTTCAGCTGGGGGATGCAGGTTTAAAAATAATAAAACAGAAATGTCACCCTATTATTTAAAGTAATAGTGGGACATAAAGTAATAGCAAGTTTGTAAGCAGTTAATATCTGATCTTTTACATATATACAGTTTGTAATGTAAACTAGTGGTTAATCTAAGGGTTTATATGTATATAAACCAACCAGTTTTTTTTTTTTTAATTCTTTTCAGTTTAATGAAGATCTTATCAAGGTTAAAGACATATGTATTGTGGTATACCTGAGGATAATCATTTTTTTTCTTGTGCTACATTAATTGAAACAAAACAATCAAATCTGGTGAAAATTAGAAAGAACAGGTTAGACAAAAAACACTACTTGCTGATTAAAGAGTGGTTGGTTATTTTATTCATTTTTTGTTATAATGTTATAATCATATGACCTGGAAATTCATTATATTGACAACAACGAAGCTTTTACATATATATAATGAAGGAAAACTTGATAATGCTCTCACTTTTTTTTTATAGATTTTTGTTATTAGATCTGCTCCATCTGGTCATGGAGAGGTGATAGGCTTTGGATGGGTTTAAATACTTTACTGGCTGGAATGGCAGGAGTTTGATGTGATAAGGAGGGAGGCTGTAACAGTATACGCCACAATCACTTCTTATAATGTGTGTGTTTTCTTAACAGTCGCCTGCCTGAGAATCATAAATTATTAATCTGATGTTTCTAGCGCAGCTTGGAAATTGCGCCACTGATGGCTTTTCCATTTTACTCCAGCAAGAGCATCACCTCCCAGTGACTCATCACAACTGAACAAGAAGCTTTGCACAATTGTTTTTTTTTTTTTTTTGGTTTGCTGTATAGTTTATTCAATTTTCACACTTTGGAGAGGTTTGCAAACTCAAAGAGGCTCCTGACCTCCAACCATATGTAATCTCCTCTTGAGTAATCCCGCCTCTTGTGTCATTCCGAGTCCTTTCAAGCTCCCTCCCTTTGTTTTGCTGCTCTCTCTCTCTCTCTCTCTCTCTCCCTCTCTGTCCTCTTCTCTCATCCCACTTATTCCACCTTACGCCTGATGGAGCATTAAGCCTGAACGCTACTGGCAGCCAGGGACTCATATTCATTCGGTTGTTGAGTGAACCAGCCAGGCTTTGGATCTTTCCCTTCACTCCCGTTTTTTTTTTTTTTTTTCCTTTTACTCCTTCCAGAAAATCGGGAATTATTTGAACCGGCTCCTTTTTTACTGTGTGTGGAAGGTTGCAGGGTGGGGAGGGAGTCAGGAGACTTTGTTCCCAACCTCGGCACGCTCCTGCTGATCTGCACTTGCTCCCACTTGGGATACCCAGACAAAGGTCCCGCGGATGACCTCTCCAAACTAACTTTAGCTTTTCACCTCATTCACTCGGAGGGTGGTGAATTGAATGGGCATTTTCCAGAGTTTGGATGTTTCCACGCTGAGAGCCACCGGATAAGATGGTGCCCCTGCAGAAAAGGGTAATCTGAGAAATGTGTGTGGAGGAGGAGAGGAGGTCTTTATCGTGCATGATTTAGCTGCTCTGACGTGGGCTGCAAGTTGTCTTTTATTTTGTTCTGAATACTCTCTTTGTGGTTGAGATAAAGTAAATTAAGTTTTGATACTTCACTTGGAGCAAACTTCAAAGAAAGCATTTGGGGATTTAGAAGAAGCATAAACACAAATTCCAAAGGAAGATTCTTCACCCAAAGCAGAGAAAGTCTTATTGTTTGGGTTTTATCCATTGATTTTTCTGGCTGTTGATGAGGGATTTCTCATTGAAATAAGCTGACAATGCAGTCTGGATCCCCTCCCCCCCACTTCTCATTCTATTGTTTTCTTTGAGTGCTTCAATTGAGAGTTGCTCCTTCAGTTTGAGGGTTTTCATTCAGGAGTGTTGAAGTGACTTTATCACACCTCATGTGATGAGATTTTACTGCAGTAAAGCGATGAAACTTTACCGTTCTGCACAAATCTAGGTGTTATTAAAAAAACATTTGGCTTTCCTCTACGACTACCTGACTTTGCTTCACAGAGCTGCAGACTGAAGCACACCTCTTCATCTTTTTCTTCACCACAACCACTTCCTGTGTCACTTATGCTTTCAGTGCCGGATGCTTGGAGCACTGCTGTATCATTCTGCACGGTCTGCTTAAAAATCACATAGGTTTTTCTTTTTTTTCTGGTGCTGACATCTTCTAAGATTCTCCCCTTATTAGTTGGATGTAAAGAAGACTAAAGACATGGTGGAGGAGAGGATGGGAGACTGTTGGAGCCACACCAAGGTTGCATTTTTTTTTTTTTTGCTTAGATTGGGTAATATTGTCTGGATTTAGATGTGTCGTATGTGTGCTGATTTGCCAGATGAATTATTCGCTCTCTTTCCTGATGTGACAGCTTTGCCGACGTGACCTTGGCCAAGTCAAGGCTCATACTTTCCCCCACAAGTCTTGAATAATGACTTCAGACTGAGCAGCTGTGTTTGGTTATCAGACTGCTGGGGAATGGATTTACTACGAGGCACTGGAACATCCCACACTTTTTAAATCATATTTGGATCTGAAGGAGAAGTCGCTGGTGAAACTGGTAGCGCTGATTAATTGCTTAAGGAGAGAGACGAGTGTCATGTTTCTGGTGAGACGCCTCTCACTGGGGAATGCGTTGTGCAGATGTGAACGAAAAGGTCACCCCATGCATATGGGGGTTTTACCTCAAACTCCATTCTAAAAGTAATGCTAGTATTTAAATATCCTCAATATGTTCATCTAAAGAAGGTGTAGATTTGTCCTTAGGTAACCTCTTAGATGATTAAAGCAGTTTGAAGAGCTCCATAGGTCAAGACGGAAGGCTAGCTTTGGCTGTTTCCGATTTCTATCATTATCAGCATATAACAGCCCTTCATCACCTTTCTTTTTTAAGTAGTCGCTATTTATTTTAAGGGAAGCGAGGCGACACACTGTGTGTGGTGCATGTGACAGAGAGCATTCGCTGTAAAATAAGGTTATACTGTTTTAAATTAAAGGCTAAATGATTTTTGAAACTAGCATTACTAACTGCTGTCTCCATGTGCCTTCCCTTGAGAATGCCAATGCATAACTCTAAAATTGACATAAGGTTGTCAGTCTATAAGAACAACACACTGCTCACAACAAACAGCACTGGGAGTTCAATGACTTGGCTGAAAAAGATTGTGGTCACAGTAATACCGGCGGTACAGCTGAAAATGATCAACAGCTGATTTTGTGGCGCATTTCTGTTCTTCACTCAATAAAATGTTTGATGCAACCTAATTATTTTCGCCTCTTGTTCTCTACAGGATCAGTTTGAAAACTTGGAGAAGCACACGCAGTGGGGAATCGAGTTTGTGGAGAAGTACAACAAATTTGTGAAGGAGCGATCGGAGATCGAAATCAACTATGCAAAGCAAATTAGGTGAGTGCTTTAGCTGACCCGTATTTGATGTTGCTGCACTTCATATTATGTGGAGAATCTGAATGTCGCATTTTGAAAACACACTTCTGATCCAGTTTTGTTATTTCTATCGTGCTCAAATTGTCAAACTTTAAATAAGGCTGGATGGCATCAAGCAGGGTGTGTTGTTTTTTTTTTCCTTTTTCACCGGAGTTTTATCTTGCATTACCACATCACTTGTGATTACTTTAGAGCAGGGATGGGCAATCCTGGTCCTCGAGGGCCAGTGTCCTGCAACTCTTGGACGTCTCCCTGGTTCAACACAGCTGAATCAAATTGCTGAATCACTTCCTAAATGCAGTCAAGTTCTCCAGAGTCCTGCTAATAACTTCATTATTTGACCGAGGCCTGGAGTTGCCCAACCTCTGCTTTAGAGGGAATAGCAGCATTTACTTTCTGTCTTATTCGTGTCAACATGGTGTTTCAACAGATTAAGTTGATCCCTGTATCAGGTCTGATGAGATGCCTCTGAATTTGGGGCCAGTAACATTGACCTGCAGCTGGCTTTCTCCTTTCCCCTTTAATGAGAGGCAATGTGAGCGTCACATGAAGTTTAAGTTTCATTTGAAAAAGTTAATGGACATTTCAGTGGTTGCCTTGCTTGGCAGATGAAATCATTTAGGCATAGAATAGATCTGATGAGTCAATCTTCTTTTTAAGAAAAGCACTCACTTTGCTAAGTAAGCTCATTAGCTACGAAGTAAGCTAATTGGCCTTAAAAAAAATAAAAGGCATGGTCTGTTTCCTCAAACTAAATCAAAAGTGTTCCAATATGCAAAGAAATAAAAAAAATGTAAGTACTTAATTTTTGTCTGAAGTGCATCTGTATGGCAAAGTAGCACATTTCCATGCAACCCCAATGTCTGGTTTCAGCCAGTGAAATAAGTCAAAGTGGACGTCCGCTCGACTCCTCTCTCCATCCTTTTCCGTGTAGCTGTTTCTCTGTCTGCCTCGTTCCTCCTTGCATGTGAAGCTGTGTGTTTTTGTCACTGGTCTGAGCTGCAGGCAGAAAGGAAGTCAGGTTGTGATGGGTTATGGGGGGGGCCTGTGTTTCCATAGAGATGACAAGGTACCAGCATTATCAACCCCAGGTCTGACCCAGATATTTTTTTTATTCCACCAACCACATGTGTCGGCTCCTCCTCCTCCTCCTCTCACACACTGTGTTGTGATACAGTCGCTGATTTTCAAAGGCAGTTTTTGGAGCAGAGAGGATCTGTCTCCTCAGGCCTCCTGCCGCTCATCAGTCAGCAACAGAAGAAGATATTCCCCCAAAACCGCATCTTCGTCCTGCCTCACCCTCCAAAGAGGATGGTTAATACGGCTAATGCCCTAAATATTCTGTAACTGTCCTGTTTCAGAACGAATAACTAATATTGTGACCGGATTCATATAAAGATTGCTTCATTAAACAATAGATGATTGTAGAGGCTGTCAGTTTTTAGATGCATTGTTTAAGCTCATATATCGCTCTGTAACTTTCCGCAATCAGATTGTTTTTCATAGAATTTCAGTATTTGGTTGTCTTTAGGATTTAGTTATTGCTGTAAATCTGTTAGAACATCTACATTTTAAAGAGCATTTGTTGATTTCTAATACAGAAACATGATGTTCTCATATGATTAGAGTCCTCGCAAAAAATAGTTACTTATTTTTCACATATTCTCACAACCTCAATAGATCTTATAGGCCAGTACAAAGTAGGATGTAACTGTGAAGTGGAACAAGAATTGTACGGGATATGGGCTAAAGGCTTTTCACATCTAAAGATCATTTTTTGTTTCTATTTATTAACCTTTGCAAATGTTCACAGACTCTCCAGTGGACTCTCTCTGACTGGGTCATTCTTAAATATGCTATGATCATGATCCTTGTAGCTCTGGCTGCAAGTTTAGGGCCAGTGTGATTCAGAAAGGGAATCTCCTCCCCAGTCTGCAGCCTATGACAGTTTTTCTAATTGCACTGACTGAACAAATTAAAGTTGTTTTTACATGTTACATGTTGTCAGATACATTTAGAAGAAACATTTTAAGTCAATTCTGGACTGTTTTCCTGTATAGGACTGAGTCGGTCGATACCAAACCTCAGATATCGGTATCGGAAGTGAAAAAAAAACAACCCAGAATCGGTGAATCCCTACTGCTTTGTGTTGGCCTTTGAAATAAATTCTTAATAACAATCACAATTGTTGGCTGTAATGTGAACAAATGAACAAGAAATGAACACTATGTGCCGCAACAAAACCACACATTTATGCGGTTCAGATAGCAGCTGCATGTATGAGCAAACATAGATGGGACATAATTCAATCAGTCAACATGTGCTGCAGCATGTTGAGCTCATCTCACCGTTGTAGGTTTATTAAACTTGCTCCACAAATGTAGCGGAATGTTTTCGCCCCTTCGTGCTAACACAAAGAGGCCTGCTGCCTAACCGTGTCTGGTATTAAGCGTGTTCTCGCATAAACACACGCTATAGGATGAGGCTGTCACCAGGAATATTTTGGATGGAGACGGTGGACAGCTTGAGACAGAGTTTCCAGGTGCGCTCAACACATTGTCTCTCGTCTTCTGGCGCCGCTTCACCATACCTAAGAACTAATCATCCCTTATAATCAACTTAGCTTGAGAGATCCTGTTTAATCTATCGGCCACACTCGCACCAAAAGACACACAGGACTCAGATCTAATAAACTAATGGAGCTGGGCCTTTAGACAGACCAGTTTGTCTCTGGTCTGTGTCGTTGGGCAGATTTTTTCTTGACTCAGAGGTGAACTTTGTTTCCACATTCTGGCACATTTCCATATGAGCTACATAATATTTGTATTATATGAATATTTAGACATACTTCTGCAAAGTTAGTGAGCTACTTATCTCACTAAGTCAGCCAAGTAGCTAGAAACTGAATAATCGGTGGGGTTTGTTTAATTGCAAAGGAAAAATAGGAAGAGAAATCATTAAAAAAAATCAAGCAAAAGAGATTATTGAGGAATCATTTGACTGATTATTGATGCAAAAGGCCAACAGAGCTGGGACACTTATAATGCACTGAATATCGATCAGCAGTTCTGTTAAGTGAGGTCTGTACGACTTTGCAAATATGTTTTGAAAATTAAAATATGTTTTGAAAAATCCCATCAATGAAGGCTCTACTACTCTACTTTGCACCCTCCTTGCCATTTCCATACCAACTACATACTCTTCTAATCCATGATTAATCCTCTTCCATTGCATCAGCGTAAACAGGCACAATACTTCAGTCTAGTCTGTGCAGATCAGTGCATTTCTGCCTCCTCCTCCCCCAAATGCTAGTCTGGCATAATCCATAATAAAGCAGGAATAACGTCCTGCCAACAAAGGAACTACTGTGCAAGTGCGATAAAAGGAGCGATTGCTTACATTGTCAAACAATAAGCCAGTGTTTATAGATATAGTGTGTATCTTTTTTTTTTCCGAAGTAATATTGTGCCATCTTTGAAAAAAAGTACACATGTAAAAATCAAGAACGGTGCAGTTTTCATTTTCAGAGAATTGTTGAATGTGTAAAAGACATCAGCAGGGAGCTGCAGTTTAACCCACATATGAGTTCATGTGTTAATATGACATGCGCGGACGAATAGGAACTGGCGCTATAATTAGATACAGGAGGTGAGAAGGACAGAGCGTGCAAGACACCGAGATAAATCTGCCTAGCAACAGTCTAAACACCACCTGGGAGTCAAAGCGTGGGGGGATGCTGAACAGAGCGCTCTGCACAACATGTAGTGTTCCCAGCATATTCATCTTTTTTTAAAGTAGGAATTGTGAGTCCTTTTTGGGAACACCAAAGCAGAAGTGTGTTTATATTTCATCATTGATTAAGGTGCAATAATCTTACTATACAGAGATAGCAATGAATATAATCAGTTTTCTGCATGGTGTGGATACTGATGTAAATGTGCAAAGTTAGTGTGAGTGAAAAACTTTGGTTTGATCTGCACAAAGCCCTTTGAGGTTTAGTATGTTCTGTTACTGGGGAAATAAATGCTAAGATATAGTTGTTTTTACAAAATTCCTCATGATCGTTTCCATAAAATCTAACTAAATGAAAACGTTTTAGAAGTAACGTGCAAAAACTGGAGACCTGTGATGAACTGGTGACCTGTCAAGGGTGTAGTCCTTGCCTTACCTAAGTACACTGACAAAATTAGAAGGCTTAGGAAACTGATGAATGGAGTTTTTCTTCCCTGAATGAATGTTCCCAAAGATAAATGTGGAGTTTTTTTCTATTTTTTTGAGTCAATGAATGTAGAGTTCTACATTGTTAGATCTGTCCAGTTTGTATTTGATAGCAGCGTTTCAACTGAGGAGGTTATTTTGACTTTACATCCTCCTCTGTCAGAGCACAGAATACAGTATTATGCTTTGCTGATGGATCAGGTGGGTGATAATCTGATATAGCCTAGATTTCAACGTTGTGTGGAGGTTAAAAAAAGGGTACTGAGAGACATCACCGAGACGACAGACTAATCCAGATAGCTTTGCTTCACCAACGATGGCACAGTGCCATATTTCTTTAATCCATACTGGCTTACTCTACATTTCATTTTGTACGTTCTCCTTGCTCCCACCTCATTTTACAAATGTGCAGCAACAGTCAAAACAGGGGCAGTGGCTGCTTAAGAGAAGCTCACCGTTAGTTTTTTGGTGACTTGCTCTCCATCCGCCCCGTTGGTGACGACAATTTATGACGCAAAGAGAGAAAACGAAATGAGGAGGACGGAGCAGAGAGCACTCAGAAGGATTTAATGGTGAACCGCTGGGTGCTCTGGCGGGTCCATAAGGGCGGCGTCGGGGAAACGCGCTGGGAATGGTGTCTGCACACTACAGTGAGAAACATCTAACAAGCCTGACCCGTTTGTCTTTGCAGGAATCTTTCAAAGAAATATCAACCCAAGAAGAACTCGAGGGAAGAAGAAGAGAGCAAGTAAGTCAAAGAATTGTGGAACAAAAAGCATTGTACTCGGAGAAGTATTGGCAGCCTCCGTGCCGACACAGTGCAAGTTGTGGATACTTTGGAAGAGGGTTCCCTGGTCAAATGAGGCCAAAATGTGAACCCTATGACCTAAATGTAAAGCGACATGCTTAGTGGAAAAATATGACTACACATCAACATAAACTCACTGACCTCACTGAAACATGGTGGTGTGCATACGTATAGAAGACAGATAAAGCTCAATGCAACCCTGACGAGAGCGTATTAGACACTTTAGGACAACTGAAGGGTTTAGGTGAAAGTATAGCAATATGTGTTAGAATGGCCAAAACGTCTAAATCTGTGGCAAGATCTTGACTTAAGTTTCCAATCATTCGTGTATCCAGGTATGATTGTGTTCTACAACTTTGTCACAAACTATGAGAGACTTGAATACTTTTTCAAGGCGATGTGAATAACATCAGCTCAAACCTTTGTGAGATGAAAAATTTTACAGTGTTTAGTAAAATGAAGTGAAAAGATAAGGAAGATATATCCGTTTCCTGAGCTCCATGTAGAATAGCGAAAGCGTGATTGTGACACGGAAACATTTACTGTAGTCCTGATCTCACTACTACGTAGAGCTCTCATCTCGAAAGTTACACTCATTTCCTTCGATATCAAACTGTTCCTTTTTTACAAAGCAGAAACGTCTTTGTGATGAAATCCAAACTCCTCGTCCACTTTCCTGTGTTCGAGCACCATTTTGCCTCTGACACCCTTTCTTATTTCTCACCAGGTACAGCTTCTGTCGAGCCTTCTTCACGACCCTTAACGAGCTGAACGACTACGCGGGTCAGCACGAGGTCATAGCGGAGAACTTGACCTCCCAAATCTTTGTTGAGCTTACGCGCTACCTGCAGGAGCTCAAGGCTGAGAGAAAAACGGTGAGGATTTTTAGAGTTAGTTTCACTTGATATGAAGGTTGACAGTGAAGGGATGAGAAATTAAACAGCCCCGCCCCCTCAATGCTTACTTCTCAGCAGAGGTCATTGGTGCATATATATAGATGTACCAAAGGGCTTGACTGATACAGTCCTTTTTATAGAACCAGGCTTTTCTCTAACAATATAGTGACATTTTGCTTTTTTAAACCAACTTTTACAGAAGTGTCTCTTCTTTTGTACTTCATTAGATACATTGGACAATTGGTGGTCAGTCAACACTATGACAACCACTAAAACAGCAGGATTAATAGTGGAACTATGCAAGAGAAAGAGGCAGCCGTGTGGAAAAAGTCCATTCTAAGAACAATCTGTCAGAAGTTCTTTATCTTTGAGGAACAGTTCAGGGAATTGGAGTGGAAAACCTGAATTTTTCTCAAAGGCATGTTGACGTGGACTTTTCTTTTCTTTTTTTTTTTTTTTTTTGTTTAGTATACACGCTAATTTGCATCAAGGCTGATGCAGTTGCTCTTTCTTCAAATGGAAAACTATGAAGACCTCTTTTTTTTTAGATTAATTTTAGATGCAGCTGGTGCAAAAGCAAAAGGGGATTTCCAGTTCATTTGGGGGGCAATCCTACTGGCTTAGATTAGCCTGACACATCTATGATCTGACACTGTGTTCACATTCATATCACAGACAGTCCTTTGGTAGAGCTTTGATGCTCTCACACTGCAGGATGTCACTTTATTGGGAATTTTCCTCCTCATCTCTGCTGATGATTTTCCTGCTCTGTTATCTTCTTTTACTCTTTTTTGGGATCTTCTCTTCTTATTTGCTAGCTAGCTAGGCATTGACCTGTATGATATTCTCTAGAAATGATAACTTAATTAATTATAGATTCCCAAATGGAAGAAAGGAAAAGTTGTTTTGTTGCTAAGTCAACAAAACATGTCAATTTAAGTGGGCATATTTTTACTTCAATATGTCCACTTAAAAATGAATAAACACCAGACATACCAAGGGGTTTCCGAGTTCTTGTAGATATATTTAACATTTCTGCAAAAATGTATTTGCTGAATGTTTTGCGGCTAAGTCGGCTATTTGCCCAGTTCTGAGCCTGCCGTTAGCTTAAGAGCTACTAGCTTGCAGTCTCAATAAGTGTGATTGTTAGCTATAATCACATAATAATGAAATTAGCGACATTTAAATATTATTTTTGATACAAAGACCAAAATAAAATCTTGAATTGTCAATAAACTTTATAAGTGCTTATCTTGCAAAATATTATGTCCTTTTTTTCTTTGGTAGCTCAACAAGCTATCATTAGCTCGATACGGCAATAAACTATGAAGATAAGCTATAGGCTAGCTTGCAATTGCTTGGTTAGCATACAGCTTAGCATATTAAAAGTAATGGGTTTTGCACCTTTAATTTCCACCTCATGAGCAGTTGTGAGTACAATATTTTTTTTTTTATTAACAACTGACTGGCAGTGCTCAGCAACATGTGTAACGTGGTGCAGAGTTACCCTATAGAGCATACAGCCAGAAAAAACTTTGGTCACTTTAGTTCTTTCTCAGTAATCTATTTGAAAGGACCTTACAAAGGAGAATAATCGGAATGGCATGATGGAAGAGTCTTACAGTTTTGAAACTATAACATTTCAAAACCAGTCCTACTTCCTGTTCTCCTTAGATTCGAACCCCATGTTTTCTCGCAGCTGATACTGTTGGTAGTGTCATGTGTCTTGTCTCAGCTGTATCCATTCAGCTAGCCACTGTTTCCCTGAATACAGAGTTGTTCCATCTGGAGACATTAAGCACATAATTTCTCAAGTCACATTCAGAACAGTGTCCTCACAGAGAAAACATAGGCCCTGGCATTTTAAAGACCACCAATGAACGGTATCATGTAGAAAAGTCTATTAGAATAGGAAGTTCCTGTTGTTAGTAAAAGGCTTTGCTTGATTAAAAGTCATAAAGAAAACATTGGCTTTTACAGTACGTGCATTCATGATACTGTAGAGAAAGTGGTAATGATACCCTGAATGGTAGCTGTAAAACAGTCAGGCTTTGTATATCCAGCTTCCCTTCATTTCACTGGTTTCCTTTTTCTCCTCCCACTGATGTTCAAGTGTGATGAAGCACCTACTGGTATTTTCATCTGTGTACATGTCAGACGCAGCTGTGCAGCCCAGACCCCAGACAGTCGGATTTGTAGGCCAAGGGCCTGCCCTCTGCTGCCTCTACAGGCTGCTTATTGGTCAGGTAGAATCTACACCTCAAGCATACAAGGAGGAAAATCGCATACTTAATTTCTCATGCAGGGTTGTTGTGTAACTGTTCCCGCTTCCTTTTGATTGTTTCGCAAAGTCAACCTTTTGCTAATCTTGGGTGGAGGTGAGTCAGATAAACATTTTTGTAAACTTTATAGCTTTGCCTGTTTTGGCTTTGCAGTGCAAATTAAAAGCTTTAAACAATAACAACAGTATGCTTTTGGAATGCATTGGCTAATAGCTGAATAAATGCTATTGCAGAGGTTAATATGGGATGAAGAACATAATTCCCACTGGACTGTGTTGTGCTGAGGAATCATAATAAGGTGTTCGGTCAGCAGGTTGCTGTCCTGGCCGTGGCTTAGTTGTCTTCTCCCACAGGGACATATAAAGACCATTGAACAGTCGGACACTACTCATTTGTTCTGATATTTTATGATGACCATTCAAATTTTTGGCCCACCCGATACCGACCTGGACCATTTAAGACTAGGAATGTGCTGATTCACAGTTCTCCTCTCTAGTTTTTTTCCAACAGTTGCATTAATATTTTGCTCCAACTAGAATTTTTCTATGTCCTCCTTAATATTTTGTTCCAGCATTTGGTTAATTTGAAATGACTAATGTTCTGAATCTTAACATAGAGTCTGCTTTCACTCCTTAATTTAGACTGAGGCTGATAAAAACAGAGTTGTTCAGTTTCTACATTCACATTATTGGAGGCAGCAGCTCGATGTTCTCAACTTCTCGTGAACCAAGTCAGGTTAATGACTGACTAACATGGTCACCTCTTGACAGAAGCAAAACCAGAAATGGTGCAACAGGAAAGCATTCCTCCTTCAGATGCATAAGATTGCAGAACAAGTCAAGAACAATACATCCATTTTTGTTTGGACCAAAGTGCATTCCCCAGTATATAGGTGCAGCGAGCACCTCTTTCTGGAACCCCTCCCACACACCCAAATACACAATCACAATCGGAGTAAAAAAAACCCAAAAACCCTATAACTCTGTTACTTTTCAGAAAGAGCAAAAACAACAGCATAAAAACTCAATCTGAAATTATTCTGTTAAAGTTTGACCAGTATATTTGTAGTATATTATGCTTTTATATCTCTATGGTAATCCAAATGCCAAAAAAGAGCAAATTTTGTGATTTAATACATAAAATTAAAAAGATTCACTGTGCAAAACCATCCTGCTCAGACCTAGCCAGTGAAAACATTTAAGATTTTCTTATTGATTAAATTCAAATGGTTAAAATAACCAAATATCCTCTTATTTTTGATAAAAATTAACACTATTAATCAGCGTCACAAAAAACAATATTTTTAGTGTTTATGTCAAATCTATATGAAAATATACATGCACATTAGCAGTAGAAAACTTCCACCTGACAATATGTTTATGCTTTATGTTATCATGCTGCCCTATTTATTTGATATTGCATATTAAATAAAAGCAAATAATTAGATTTTTTTCCCTTTTTAGTTTTTGCTCAACATGGTTATTTCCTGAGATACCTACAAGGATTGTATTAATGAGGATTTGTCCAATAGTTTCCAGCTACTGAGTTACTTAGCTACTTTGGGTAGCTCAAAGCAGCAGGGCTGATAGCAGTCCTGTGCCGTTTCACACCAAGACAGGTGGAAGACTCGCCACAAGAGGTTAGGACAAATTTATCTCGAGAGTCTATGAAGGTAGGAAGCCAACATCCCAGAACATCTGGAAGATAAGTGAGTGTTTTCTTTGCAAAAAACACCTGCAGCCCAGATGGTTGGTGGTCTGTTTTATGGGATTGAAAGTAAGCTCAATCGTCTACAGTCTGATTTGTTCATTGTGTGGTGAACATTTTTAAATCTGATGCTGCTGTTAGTCATAGTAGTTTGATCTTCTACATGCAGTTTTTTTTGTTTAGCAAAATAAGACGTTGGAAGGTCATAGCCAGGTTATGGAGACGCATATTTCGTCAAAAGAATACTCTACATTAACAGGAATGTCTTTGCGTCTTCTCTTTATCAACTCATCAGTTCATGAGACATCGATTCAAAGCACTGACACCACCTTTATGTAACATGTATTTCAAGGTGAAGGTCAGACACTTCACGACTTCTACTACGCCTAAAAGTCTCGTTTCTGGTGGACCTTCACTAACTTCCTCTGAAACACAGGAGCACTTCCCATTTTTGTAAAACTTCCCTTAAACTCTTTGGGAAATGAGAAGTATGACTAGTAGAGGTAAACCATAAGTCACAAATCTCTCGCATGTCCAGTATTTATCGGGTGAGAATCCAATCTCCTACCGCCCCACCACCTCGCTGTTGATTTCATGTTTCTTAACCAACTTCCTTCTGAAGCCCAACCACAAGCTCAGAGTAAGTTATTGAATAGAGACATCGACATTCAGCTCAGCTACTGAGCTCAGCGACCGCAGCGTGTGTAACCAAGGGACACGCCATTGACAGCCTAGAGCCTGTGTAGGCTTTTGGATTCTTTGCCAAACTTAAGAAAACATTTATATGTTTTAGAAGTTATCGCAAACTGATCCGTTAGCAAGTACTTTGAGATTTGGATCCAGATGGTCTGTGTTTCCATATTTTTTCCTAGAGTTGTGTGGTCAATACAGAGAGCTGGAGATTGTTGTGGTTTGCCTTTGGGACAAGAGGGCTGAGATAAGCCAAGCGAGGCTTTGTGAAGAAACGCAGCATATGTTCTGTGGGAGTTTAAGCCAGCAGCTGCTTTCTGTGTGGCGACACTTCGCAGTGCCGAGATCCACCAGGACTCCACCGCCATTACTCCACCCAGTTCTTCCACTATTGATTTTATTTATTTAGCATTCTGATATCTCATTAAGAAGCACTACTTTCCTAATACTTAAACTGCACCGTAAGCAGGTTAAACACAAAACTCAAATTACTGTAGTTGTTTGTAAATAACCAGTAATAAATAATATACACTAACAAATTTAAATAATTTTTTCATATCATCTTTCAGTGAGGCAGAGGATTTTTTTAAAGAGTAAAATAGTTATTTTTTTGCTTGAATTTGGTCAGATAAACTCCCCACCAAAATTCTGGGGGAATCACCAGGGTTATTCAAATAAGTTCAGACGGGGAAACTTAACTGTGTTGCTGGTTTCTCTTCCGATGTTCGACTTTTGTGCTCTAGAAATTTCTAAACCACAACTGTCAACATCGTGGTGAGCTAAGCAAATAAGTTAGGTGACTTTGTCAAATTGTATGAGTCAAGAAGTGAATAAAACTACTGCACTTTCATAATGTCATAGTATTAATAAGAAAATTTCAGACAGGAAAAACAATGATCTCATTGGTTTGATTCAAACAATTTTCAGACAGTCTTTCAGCTTCTCAGCTTGTATTTTTGAAGAAGCTGTACCCTGGCAACTGGACTCATTCAGTTAACTTTCACATCTTGAATTGTCTTGAGTTTTGTGACCAAAACCGCCAAATTAGAGGCATTTTTTAGCCAGCCAGTCTGATAGTGAGCAGCAACATTTGTGATGTGGACACTGCTGCAGAACTTCTTTAAAAGTATTCATGGATACTTGTTTTGATCATACAAAGAAAGGAGAACAAAAAGTGTGTTCAGGCCTTTCACTGGGTTTATAATAATCGTTGTGAATTTGAAGTATGCATGGCCTCCCGACAGCGAGAAGAGACAACAGTTCAGCAGCAAAATCCTTGCTCCAGGCATTGTACAAACTATGACTTTGAAGCTTTATGATCTCCTTCCTCTCAAAATTATTGGTTTCCCTGCTGTCATTATTTTAGCTCTGAAATGGTTACTGTCTTCTAATTTAAAAGAACACTAATTGCTTTAAACTGACCTAAATTTGTCATGTAGAGTCTGTGAAGGAATGCTGAATTTCTCATGAATAATATTCAGTGGTATTGTGTGGTTTCCTATTTCTAGTTCTTAGTATGTCAAGGTCAGGCTCACCTGCTTTTTAAAATTGCTTTGAATGTCTCATTAGAATGATGTCATTAATCATTTCCTTAAATTCATCCCCCTTTCCTCCACAGCATTTCCATGATGGACGCAAAGCACAGCAGTACATTGAAAGCTCGTGGAAGCAGCTGGAATCGGTAAGTCTGTTTCACTTTTATGAATAAACTTTAATCCTGTTCACAGCCAGAGTTTGATTTGAATCAGAGTGGTATCATGGTGGCACAAAGAGAGGCTACTGCTTTGTGCCTCCATACGAATCTAAGAACATCAGTCCTGGATACAATCAGTAACCCTTAAAACATGCTATAATTATTAAAACGAGCCACAGTCAACTCTGACTAAAACATTTTTGCTGAGGTCTTGATTGGGATTTTTGTTTTTTACTTTTCAGTTGAGTCATTTAGGATTAGGCATCTGTGCCACGAATAATCCTAAAACAACTTCCAAAAAACTAAACTTGCTATAATTAATCAGTATTATATGGCCTGATATTGTGTCCCACTTGACAAATAGTTTTTCAGAAGTTCCAGATGCTGCATTATCTGTTTTTCTTTAAAATATATTTTGTCTCAGCAGGAGTTTTTATGGGTTATGGTTTGCTTGGCTAATACAGCTACTATAATTTTTGACAATGTATCAACTAAAGTGAGCTCAGCTCTATCATTTGTTTCTATATATCAAACATCAAGAGCAAAACATTCAAATCAATATTTTACTCTTCTTTTCAACCAGAACAGTTATCTAAAGTGCTAGACTAATGTTTTATGTCCAGTTTTTTAAAATACTTGTCTTAGCATATTTCAGGTTGGTTCCTGTTCATTTCATGCAGATATAACTTACAGTAAAGGTTGCTCTCCTGCTTTGAATGCCGCAACTTTTGCTAACAAGCGTTTTAGCTGAATCTGTCCAGGGGCAACTGAGAATACTTAGCACGGAGTGGAGGCCAAACACATTAGCCTGGTGAGAGCTGCACCAGTCATTATAGTCTCTTTTTCATTGTAAGCATCTTTGTAAAGGGTGAAAAGACACAAAATCTATACATCAACCAGATGGCTTGCTGTGGGTACAGCTGATGCATAGGGAGTTTCATTGTTTCTAGGACTCCAATACCAATCATTTGAAGAGATTTTTAAAATATATATCTGAGATTATATCAAGACATCCCTAATCAAAAACCTTATGACACACTTAATCTAGACCTGTGTGGCAAAAATAGTTGGGAAGAAGTGAGAAAACAATCTGATTTGCAATTTGATGTCAGTATAAAACATGAATGTCTATTAAGAGAAAAAGTTTTTTTGTTTTATTCCTTCTAGCCTAAGTGAAGGACTGACAAGAGAAAAATCCTATAACACCACTTCTCATCTCTGCCTGGCCCCTTTGACGAGGGAGAGGAACAGTGCGAGAGAAATACATAACTTGCCTTGCCCTCCTCAAACTTGTCTCTGCGCTCAATGATGCCATTGTGTGTTAGGCGGAGAGGCACAGCTCAGAGTGCACACTGGCCCTACAAACAGTGATTGTTCGGTCAGAGGGTTGGATGAATGCTTGTGTTTTTTTTTTTCTCTCCACAAATGACCACCACGAATATTTGTTTATTCTTCAGCCTGTGGACGTTAGCCTTCACGGCGCACAATGCCGTACATGAAACATACATGACGTACATGTAGAAGTTATGACGCCCGTTTTATGCACAGTCAAAGGTCGCCTCGTATATTGATATATACCGTGTGTTAACGAGAATTCAATTGAATTTCTTCTCATTTCAGTGTAAAAGAAGGTTTGAGAGAGACTGCAAAGAGGCAGACAGAGCACAACAATACTTTGAGAAGATGGATGCTGACATTAACGTGACTAAAGCTGATGTGGAAAAGGTATGTGTCCTCAAGTCAAGCTGGGTTCCTCTGAGCCCTTCATTTTTTTTTTTTTGGCCAGTTTTAACCTCCCAACCCTAATTTGTCATACCACCATGGCTGAAAGACAAAAACAAAAAGTTTGAGTGACTGTGTATTTGATGCCAGGGATGCTGTGTCAAAGCTGGCATTGTCTCAGCAGCACAGAGATTTGCTGCTGAACAAAGCTGGTAGCACAACTCAGCGCTCATTATCATTGCAGAGAAGCAGCAAACACTCTGCAGCGCTGCATGAGCCTTAGTCACAAAGACAACTGTGTTAATGCCACGCTTGTGTGTATGTGTGTGTGTTACAAGGTAAATTGTCGATTCCTCCTGTGCAGTTGCTTTTTCGTCGCACTGAATCGACATGCGCTCGATGGTATTAGATATATTATGAAACGTCACTATCCAGTTTCTCACAGATCCATCCTTCCCCTAGGCCCTGCGTGGGTTTGTAGTTGATGTCATTTCCTGTTGTCATGACCAATTAAAAGAACCCTCAAGAATCTCTGCCCTAACCCACTCAGCTCCCACGCCCGCAAGGCATCATGGGTCAGCGGCGCGTGCTCCTGCTGCTTCCATCAGCTGCAGAGACAGGACTCAGGCTCCGAGCTGACATGGTTCAGACGTGATTATTATGCAAATATGGTTGGAAGAAAGAGGCTTTCTGCACTCGGGACATGCAGGGGAAGTCTGAACTCTTCTGGAGAGATGCAGCAAAGCACATCAAGAAGCTGGTCTTAGCTGTCACTGTTAGTTTTGGATTCCAAGAGAATTGCAGTTAATGTTTTTAATTTTCTTTCATTTAATTACCGCTTACCACCTTAACCTAACACCTTTATTATGTGCTACATTTCTCAGTGCTGTTCGGAACCAACACAAAAGAAATCCTGAAATAGTTTTGCATCCATGCAAAACAATATTGATGTCACTCCCACAAACGGCACAGTCCTGAAAGCCAAGTAGTTTAATTGCTATTAACACAGATGAAGAACAGATCATGAGTATCTTGTGTTGTTGTCTTCTGAAAGATGTATATTTAAAAATTTTTTACAGAGCTGACAGAGTACTTGTAATTGGAGGGAATCCATGTCAAAATATGCAACTAGTTTGGGTTTGGATGTTAGCTACAAAGTTTGTGTTTGAGCGGGTTTATGGTTATAAGAACAGCTATTTGTTTCAAGGAGACCAAGAGGGAAACAATATTATGCAGTGAAATATGTAAAAATAGCATCTTTTGCTTAATTTTGGGAAAGTATTTGTAGCGCTTTTGAACTGTTTCCACAAATTTCATGCAACAACCCCAATGCTCAATTTAAAGTGCTAGAATTTGATACGGTAGAGCAACAAGCAGGAAATAATTGTCCAATGGGAAGGAAGTAATAAAGAACATTCATAAACAAAGGAGGCAGAAAGTCCAAAGTAAATCTGGCTGCTGGTGTCATTTCTGTTGTCAACCTGTCAGATGCTACATCCGTCAAGAGAGATACAAATAAAAGTGTGATTTTCTCTTAGCGTATGTGTACTGTCTTATATTTAATTTGCCGCTTAGGTCTTCAAATTAAAATATAATTTGAGTTGGTAAAACCTGCAAAACCATGTCAAGGGACATGCATATTTTTTAAATCCAATGTGGAATATATAATCTTAAAGGCTTCTTGCTAAATCTTTCGTCATTAGAAAATGTGTGTAAATTTACACACATATATATAGTTTCCTGTGGTAATTGGGCCAGGATATAGCAGGTTCAGGAAACAGATGGATGGTTAATGTTCCAGAAGAAGTTTTTTCTTTTTTTCTTCTGAAATCTGATGTGGTTCTTCTGCTGTTTGTTGAGTTGAGGTTTTTGAGGTTTTGTTCAGAGCAGGAGAAAGAGGCTCTCGCTGTTTTCCTTCAACCTCGGGAAGCAAATGTCTCAATTTGGGGTTTGCTTTTCTAGCGCAGACAATTTAAAAGGTTGTTTCATCCGTTAGGAACACACCCCACCCACTCACCACCTCTGGGCCTCTCACACACTTACATAGTACCCAAATTATTAACTCGAAAAAAAGCATGTTATACTCCTTATTACATATGAGTAAAAGCCCCAAAATCCCATATCTGTGTTTAATAAAGCCAGTATTTACTGTGAGCAGTTGCTATGACTGCGTATCACTTCCTTTTCAAGTGATTGGAAAGCTTTGTGATTCAGGACGCGCATCTATGGCAACATCTTGTTTAAGCTGGAGACGGCTAACAATCCTTTGTTTGTGTTTGTGTATTATTCTATGCCACGCCTTGAAGCGAGGCTTGAACAAGGTAGGTCCGGCGTGCGGAGAAACTTCTGCTTGTGGCGGATACGCAAACACACTGTCTCGACTTTGTGGCCACACATCTTGAGCCCGGTCCTGTCCTGTCCGTCATTGGCTTTGAAACGCTGTCCTCTGCTGAACATGTTCCGTGCAAGCCTTTTATATGTGCAAAGCAGAATGAAGTCTTGGCGAGTCGGTAGTTTAAGGTAACACTGTTGGGATGGATGGAGCTTCAACCATTACTTGCACACAGACGAGAGCAAGCGGAGCCATCTCGCGGAACATGACAACAGGATGTGATGGCGGCTGCAGCACAGCATTCTGTTTCAGAGTTATGCTACATGCCCTGTTACCGTGATGACAACATCGTTGCTAAACACAATCTGCACTGTTTGCATGCACCTACATCAGCTCAGCTTCACATGCATATATAGAGTTCACAACCTTACCCGTTTTTTTTAAATCACATATTCTATTCTGTAGATTTCACTTATCTGTGATTCTTTATGTTATATGTTACCCTCCTGTTTTTAAGCTTTATGTTAATTTACAAAGCACGCACAAAGACAACTGAACATACACAGCGCAACGTGGTAGAAGGGTGGGCCAAGAAATGAAATTAGATATTCATATCCCTCTAAAGTGGATGTAACTGTAACTTTCACTCCTGCTGCCGAAAAATTATCTCCTTATTGACAAAGTCGAGATGTTAAATGTTAAAATTAATTAACGTAGGTTTCCTCTTGAGTATCTTGAATTGTATTTCGCAAAGTTTCTGAAGCTAAGCTAATCTTCAAACTAAATAAGTAAAACTAATTACTTAATAATTACTAAAAAAAACCTTTCCTTTCAGTTTTTTATGTGTTTTTCCTCATAGATATCTGGATATCTGATGTCTGGACCCGCAGCTGTCCTACACATTTTCTTTGCCTTTTTTTTCCCCTTTTTCATCAATATATGCAAGTATGTGAAGATCACTCAACACTGGAACCGGAGTATATTTTAGCTATTCAAAAATACACACAACAACAAAAAAATTATAAATAAAATGGTTCAAGAAATCATTTACACAACATGCCTGTTTGATGTAAATTATCAAGCTAACGTCAATCAATCATGCGAGTAATTACTTATTGTGACAGGTTTAGTCATAATCACAGGCTCCTAAGGTAACTCTTCCTGTGGGTTACCAGCTATTATTTATGTGTGGATGGGCTCCAGAGCTGACAGAAAGAGGAAACAGATATCAGTACTTAGCAGCATGTACACACACACACACACACACACACACACATACAGACCCAACTTACCAATAGTGGACTGCGAGCTACTGTCAGTCTATCCTGCAAAGAGGGGACTTCTGTTTCTAGTTTGTTGAGAAAGCTGAAGTCCAAAATAAAATTACTTTAAAGCTCTATTATTATAATATCACTGAAAATTTGACTTTTATTCATTTTAAAGAAATTGCCAGGGGACCTGAGTGACGTCTAGGTATCAAAGAGAGGACCTTTACATACTGCAATATAACTGACTGTTCCAATTTTTTGATGGAAATAGTATTTACTACTACACTGGATTACTTCAACTCTGAAGAAATTGATAATTTAACCTGAATGATATTATTTAATTTATACTTTTGAATACAATATTACCCAAAAAGTTTAATTATGGCCAAATTTGACAATGAATAATATTTGAATGCCATTTAATGATGGCATGAATTAATAACAAGATCTGCAATAGGAACATGTTAATAATTGTTCCATGAAATTCATTAGAAGAATGTTGTGGTTTTGTAACTGGGACTGAAGTCAATATGTTAAACAATTACCACAACATTTACACTAATTCTGACTGGTTCAGTAATCAGAAGATAAAACAAAGCGGGCTTTAAAGACAGACAGTCAGATATCTGTGTTTCCATCAGATGAGCCCATGTCAAAGCAACAACCAGGGTCCACTCTTGGCTGGTCTAGAAAGACACGAGTCCCCAGAAGGCTGGAATCAGGCGGCATTTACACTCCACATAAAGAAGCCAATGACCTTTTATTAAGTATCTTTACTTCTTAATTCGTCATGAATAAGACAGACAGATAGATTCCACTTTTGAAGGAGTTTGTTAATAATAAAATGCTAAATGGTTTTTATATATGCATTGCAATCCTGTTTTGTTCAACAAGGTGTTTTGGGAGAGACACTTTGTGCAGCATTGACTTTAGTTTTTAAGGTTAATAATTGTTCAATGAAATTTATTAGATGAACAAAGTGGTTTTGTAACAAGGCCTGAAGTCAATATGTTAAATAATTACCACAGCATTTACACTAGTAACAGTAATTCTGCCTGGTTCAGTAATCAGAAGATAAAACAAAGCGGGCTTTACAGACAGAGAGACTGACAAAGAGAGCTAGTATTAATGTTACTTAGGTGAGATAAAGTAGAGTGTCTAATCTTTGCAGACACACAGACAGACAGACAGACAGATAGACAGACAGACAGACAGACAGACAGACAGACAGACAGACAGACAGACAGACAGACAGAGACAGACAGACAGACAGACAGACAGACAGATAGATATCTGTGTTTCCATCAGATGAGCCCATGTCAAAGCAACAACCAGGGTCCACTCTTGCTGGTCTAGAAAGACACGAGTCCCCAGAAGGCTGGAATCAGGCGGCATTACACTCCACATAAAGAAGCCAATGACCTTTTATTATATATCTTTACTTCTTAATTTGTAATGAATAAGACAGACATACAGACAGACAG